TGTTCCCCAGATGGTGCAAGTGTACGCCGGCAAACAACGTGCATCACAGGCGCCTCATCTATTCGCCATCGCTGAAGAGGCATTTGCGTAAGATACGACTCAGCTCTCCTATTATATGCTGTTACTCACAAGCAAGCGTTGCAGTGACATGTTGCGAGATGCTAAAAACCAAACAATTGTGGTTTCTGGAGAGTCTGGTGCTGGAAAGACAGTTAGCGCCAAGTACATTATGCGGTATTTCGCAACTCGCGAATCCTCCGATCAACCTGGGAAATACACCACGAGTAGGGCAGATGCTATCAGTGAGACTGAGGAGCAAATCCTGGCTACAAATCCTGTTATGGAAGCCTTCGGAAACGCCAAAACAACACGCAACGATAACTCTTCACGATTCGGGAAGTACATTGAGATAATGTTCGATGATAGGACCAATATTATCGGTGCAAAGATCAGGACGTACCTCTTAGAGAGATCTCGTTTAGTATTTCAACCTCTCAAAGAACGCAATTATCATATCTTTTATCAGCTTGTAGCTGGTGCAACAGACGCAGAAAAGCAAGAACTCGGCCTTGCGTCGGTTGAGGACTTCGATTATCTCAACCAAGGCGGAACGCCGACTATTGATGGCGTGGATGACAAGGCGGAATTCAATGCGACAAGGAAATCTCTAAGTACTATCGGTGTGTCAGAAGATACGCAGGCGGAAATCTTTCGCATCCTTGCAGCTCTTCTGCACCTAGGAAATGTTAAAATTACCGCCACTCGAACCGATTCTTCGTTATCTCCCTCCGAGCCCTCCCTTATCAGGGCCTGCAGCATGCTGGGTATTGACGTCAACGAGTTTGCGAAATGGATAGTCAAAAAGCAACTCATAACACGGGGAGAGAAAATTACATCTAATTTGACACAACAACAGGCGACAGTTGTCCGCGATTCGGTAGCAAAATTTATATATTCAAGTCTCTTTGATTGGCTTGTCGACAAAATTAATAGCGGCCTAGCGTCCAGTGAAGTTTTGAACAAATTTAAATCTTTCATCGGTGTCCTGGATATATATGGGTTTGAGCACTTTGCCAAAAATTCGTTTGAGCAGTTTTGCATCAACTACGCTAATGAGAAGCTTCAGCAAGAGTTTAATCAGCACGTGTTCAAACTGGAACAAGAAGAATACGTTCGAGAGCAAATCGACTGGACCTTTATTGATTTCTCAGACAATCAACCATGCATTGATCTTATTGAGGCAAAACTGGGAATTTTATCCCTTTTGGATGAGGAGTCTCGGCTGCCGATGGGTTCTGATGAACAGTTTGTGACAAAACTGCATCATAATTTTGCAGCCGACAAGCAAAAATTTTACAAAAAGCCCCGGTTCGGAAAGTCGGCATTCACAATATGTCACTATGCTGTGGACGTAACTTACGAATCCGACGGTTTTATAGAGAAGAACAGGGATACTGTCCCGGATGAACACATGGAGGTTCTCCGCCACTCCTCGAATCAATTCGTGAAAGATATATTAGATACCGCCGCCGCCGTCCGCGAAAAAGACTCTGCATCCATTTCATCTAAGCCAGTCGCTGCACCTGGCCGTAAGATTGGCGTTGCCGTCAACCGCAAGCCTACACTTGGAGGGATTTTTAAATCATCGCTGATTGAACTCATGAACACCATAAATTCTACGGATGTGCACTATATACGCTGTATCAAGCCTAATGAAGCGAAAGAAGCTTGGAAGTTTGAAGGTCCCATGGTCCTCAGTCAATTGAGAGCTTGTGGTGTACTCGAGACGGTCCGCATCAGCACTGCCGGATATCCTACTCGCTGGACTTATGAAGAATTTGCGATACGCTACTATATGCTTTGCCATTCATCGCAGTGGACGTCTGAAATCCGAGAAATGTGCCATGCAATCCTGCAAAAAGCTCTGGTGGATGGCAGCAATCAGAAGCAAGATAAATATCAGCTAGGTTTGACGAAGATATTTTTCCGGGCAGGCATGCTCGCTTTCTTGGAAAACCTTCGTACGTCTAGGTTGAATGAGTGTGCAATCATGATACAAAAGAATCTGCGGTGCAAATACTACCGACGCCGTTATCTCGAGGCACGTGCTTCCATTCTTACAACTCAAGCTTTGATCAGAGGGTTCTTAGCAAGGCAGCATGCGGCCGAGGTGCGCAAGGTCAAAGCTGCAACTTCTATCCAACGGGTGTGGCGGGGACACAAGGAAAGGAAAAAGTATTACATCATCCGCGCAAACTTCATTTTGTTTCAATCAGTTGCAAAGGGCTTCCTCTGCCGGCAAAATATAATGGATACGATACATGGAAACGCTGCGAAAGTTATACAACGTGCCTTCCGCTCCTGGCGACAATTACGAGCTTGGCGGCAGTATCGCCGAAAAGTAATCATTGTGCAGAACCTTTGGAGAGGCAAGCAAGCGAGGAGACAATACAAAAAGCTCCGCGAAGATGCAAGGGACCTAAAGCAGATCTCCTACAAGCTGGAGAATAAGGTGGTAGAGTTGACTCAGTATCTGGAGTCTCTAAAACGTGAAAACAAGTCGCTGAATCTACAGTTAGAAAACTATGAAACTCAGTTGAAGTCATGGAGGAGTCGTCACAATACCTTGGAGAATCGTTCTAGGGAGCTTCAGGCTGAGGCAAACCAGGCAGGAATTAACGCTGCTCGGCTGTCTGCCATGGAAGAAGAAATGAGTCGATTGCAGCAGAATCATAGTGAAGCGCAAGCAACAATCAAGCGGCTGCAGGAGGAAGAAAAAGCATCACGGGAATCCATCCGTTCTGCAAATGAGGAGCTACAGCGGCTTAAACAAATGAACACCGAGTCGGATGATGAGAAAGCTTCCCTCCGTCAGCAGATTGCTGACCTCGAAGAGCAGTTGGAGCTTGCGAAGAGGACCTTGCCTAGCAGTGGCTTGAACGGTGATCAATCAAACGGCAGCGCCATCCCACCACCTGCCAGTGGCTTGATTAACCTAGTGTCCTCAAAGAAGACAAAGCCAAAAAGGCGCAGCGCCGGTGCAGAGAGGATAGACACAGATCGATTTAGCGGTGCTTACAACCCACGCCCCGTCTCCATGGCAGTTCCTAGCTCCCTAATACGCCAAAACCTATCAGGGAGCACTTTTTCACCTGGACTGGACTCCGTCGAGGTGGAGCTTGAAAACTTACTTTCTGAAGAGGATGAACTCAACGAGGAGGTCACGATGGGCCTGATACGCAATCTAAAGATTCCGCTCCCTAGTTCTACTCCGCCACCAACCGAAAAAGAAGTTTTATTCCCTGCTTATTTGATAAACCTTGTCACTTCTGAAATGTGGAACAACGGCTTCGTGAAAGAATCCGAACGGTTTTTGGCGAATGTGATGCAGTCGATTCAACAAGAGGTCATGCAACATGATGGAGATGATGCTATAAACCCCGGGGCCTTTTGGCTATCTAATGTGCACGAAATGCTTTCTTTCGTGTTCCTGGCTGAAGATTGGTATGAAGCACAAAAAACTGACAATTACGAGTACGATCGGCTGCTGGAGATTGTAAAGCACGATTTGGAAAGCCTCGAATTTAACATTTATCATACCTGGATGAAAGTGTTGAAAAAGAAGCTTTATAAAATGATCGTTCCTGCGATCATCGAGTCCCAATCACTTCCAGGATTTGTCACAAGTGAATCCAATCGTTTTCTTGGAAAGCTTCTTCCTTCCAACAACAACCCAGCTTACAGTATGGACAACCTTCTAAGCCTTCTCAACAATGTCTACAAGGCAATGAAGGCTTTCTACCTCGAGGATTCGATCGTCACTCAGACTGTCACCGAACTTCTTCGTCTGGTTGGCGTCACCGCTTTCAACGACCTTCTCATGAGGAGGAATTTCTTGTCCTGGAAGCGTGGCCTCCAAATAAATTACAATATAACTCGTATTGAGGAATGGTGTAAAAGCCATGATATGCCGGAAGGGACGTTGCAGCTTGAGCACTTGATGGTGAGACGATATTCAGACAAATAATTTGCCTCCTATACTAACCTCCTCTCAGCAAGCGACCAAACTTCTTCAGCTAAAAAAGGCCACACTAAACGACATTGAGATTATCCAGGACATCTGTTGGATGTAAGGCCCCATGCCTGCTTTTGCCTCATTAACAAAGCCATATGGTCGACTAATATATTCATGTACAGGCTCTCCCCGAATCAGATTCAGAAACTCCTGAATCAATACTTAGTGGCGGATTATGAGCAGCCGATTAATGGCGAGATCATGAAAGCTGTGGCTTCTCGTGTCACGGAGAAGAGCGACGTATTGCTTCTGACACCTGTGGATATGGAGGATAGTGGTCCGTACGAGATTGCCGAACCTCGTGTTATCACAGCCCTAGAGACATACACACCGTCATGTAAGTTTCGTATGCGACAGGCTTGGCCGATGATTACTGACCTGCTCGAAGGGCTGCAAACACCGCGACTAAAACGTCTTGCTGAGATTGTCTCGGCTCAGGCAATGGCTCAGCAAGAGAGGATTGAAATGGCGGAGATAGCATGATATCTTACTTCTGTAATACAAGGCTAGGCTAACTGCCAATGCTGTCTTTTTGGTCGAGTAAGAACATGCTACTCTACTGAGTATAGCGCTTAGAAGAAGTCGTCTTGCCGTCATTTTCTAGAGTTACGGATCATGATGAGATTATGCATTTCTGTTACCTTTGAACAGCGCTGGTCTACAATTAGACACGAGAGGGACATGCCATATATTCTCTTCCCACCATTGTCCTTATTCTATTTTTAGGGGTAAGGGACATAGAACACACCTGTACCTTGTCTTGGATTCTCTGTTTAGATTTTCATTATATTCGAGTCTCACTTGTGAATACCAATTTGAGCATGAGGTCCATCTACCTCACGGAAGACATACAGATTCTCGAGCCGTAGTAATCATGTGGCACCACGCTAGTGGGGTAGTGGGGAAGTTTTGCTTCCCCGATATGAACGATTCCTACCATGTCAGACTTCTCTAATGCGAACCTCGCCCTATTTATGAATGTATTGATCAACAAGGAGAGTATAATATCCTGTCTTAGCTCTTTTCCTACCTGTCCTCCCGAACTCCCAAAACAGTAATTTAAACTTGGCGGTACAGACATCATGACTACATTAAAGAAATTGAATTTCATCACCGGCAACAAGAACAAACTGGCCGAGGTTAGAGCGATTCTGGGTAATGCGATTGAGGTCGATAACCAGGGGCTGGACGTTCCGGAGATACAAGGGACTATTGAAGAAATTGCCAGAGAAAAGTGCAGGCGTGCAGCGGAAGTGGTAAACATTGTTATGTTCTTTCCATCTCGCCTACAGTGCTAATATTGCCCGAATAGATCGAAGGCCCAGTTCTCACGGAGGACACAGCACTTGAGTTTCACGCACTGAAAGGGCTTCCTGGCCCATACATGTAGGCTTTACCTGGGCAAATTTTTGCTTCTTATACTGATATCCTTTAAGCAAATCATTCCTTGATGTTTTGGGCCATGAGGGATTGAATAAAATGCTCGATTCATTCGAGGACAAATCGGCAGATGCGATATGTACATTCGCTTTCTGCCACGGGCCCGGCTCAGAGCCAATTTTATTTCAGGGAAGAACGAAGGTAATGATTGATAATGCAAAGTTTTAGGACTTTTAAAACCTGACCTCAACGTTTAGGGTGTAATTGTCAGACCGAGAGGTCCATCAAACTTTGGTACACAAAATCTCTCCCTGCTACGTCCGGAATCTCCAGCTTATATATTTTCTTTAGGTTGGGATCCAATTTTCGAGTATGAAGGGAAAACATATGCTGAAATGGACAAAGAGGAGAAGGTAATTCCCGATCTAGCGTTCCAACCTCTACCTTCCTAGCCTTTTCTCCTTTTCCTTGGTCTTTCCCCGACGTGGCCCCTCCGTCCGTGACTTCCTCGCTAACAACAGCTAGAACCAAATATCGCACAGGTATAAAGCTTTGGAGAAATTGCAGCGTTGGCTTGTCCAGGAAAAATCCTGATTTCTCAACTCCTGGGCGAATGACGTTGATAGGCGGTGCATGTCTGGAATATTTCAGTTCGTATTGAGGTTTTGGTCGATCCAAGAGGATACCCAAGATGAAATTCTTCTGCAATTTTCCTCTACATCGTCGTCCTTTTCGCTAGTGAGCTCAACCACGACTTCTTCATCGAAGGCTTCACGGGCTTCTTCGAATAGGACACCGAAAATCTCCGCGTCTAAATTTTCTTGTAGCTTCGCTTGCTTATATCCCCTGCAACAAGTGAGGTCCTATTAGGCTTGCTGAAAAGGAAGGGAGGTGGGGGGAGATGGCGGTTAAATGGATTCGCCTGTAGATACCTTGATGAAAGACGGTCATATAGAAGAGAAGTAGACGGGCATCGCAAAACCACAACTAGGTCAATCCAAGACTTTGGGAATAGGTCACATGCATGCCAGTCAATCAAGAGTCCCCCTTGGAGCATTTCATCTTCAACAGCGTCCAGCAGCTATATTGACCAGACGAGGTAAGTAGAGGGAAAAATTAACCTTCAATATGAGAGAAATCCTATTCAATTGAAACTTCCAGGGAGGAGAGAACGTGTATACTCAGCGTACCTTATCCTCATCCACAATCCAAGTTTCTAACTCCTCATCATAACTCTCGAAGCAACCCCGGTCTTTTGCGACCTGATTGATTGACAGATGTCGCAGACCGGTATCTTGTGCTAGTTGTTCGCAGTGGACTGTTTTCCCAACACCAGGGGTTCCTGTGATGATCACATTCGGAGATGTTCGCATGATGACTCTAGGCAGACTGCTGGGTGACCAAAACTTCCAGTTGCCTTCCTGTGAGACGCGAGTATAATCATGCAAAACATGATGGCAATGGGTAAATTTTACGTGGGGTATAATCCAATACCTCAGGCACCTATTTCGTGCGGGAAAAGTGGGTCCGATCCGACGGATATACTACGTAGTACGGAGTACCGTGCAAATAGTTAGGTACTTACTCGATCTAAAATTGGACCTTGCGGGAGTCGATTTCATTTACTTTATTTCTCTCTCTGAATAGTCCTTTCTCATTGGTAGTTGAAGTGATGGACCTGATGCCACGGTCCCAGAAAAAGATCTATGGTTTTGTACAAGTCAAGTCTTGGACAAGGTCTTGGGGAATAGAGAGCCTAAAAGGGTCAGACGATGCTCAGTAAAGGAAATGGTTGTGGCTTACTTGAGGATTTCAAAGACTTTATATTTCTTTAAATAAGCTGCTCCTCGTCGGTAGCCCTTTAGAATCCGAGCGGGATCAGCAGATACTGCGCGCGTGCCTCTGAGCCGCTTCACAGCGGACGATGGCTTGAACATTGGGTCCAAGACCAAGAGATTCGCACTGCCATTGTCACGTATCTCGAATCCAATAATGGTCAATGAGTGTCCTAATTGTGATGACACAGCGGTAAGCCCCAGGCACAAGGTTAACAGGTAGAGATTAGAGACAGAGAGGAACACTTCAGACCTTGATGTTGGAAGTAAATAGGGGGTAAGTTTGTCACGAAAACTTTGTCATCGGTATCCAAGGAGCACGCCTGTCGGAAGTAGTTCGCAATGCGCATGAACAAAACGTCATGAGCTTGCATATCTTTAGTTCCTCCGATACTACTGGCTTCGCATCTTATACAGATCAGAGCTATTCCCATTTGGTTCTTCAGTATAAACTCACTGTATTCCTAAACTCAAAAATAACGCCTGTGCCTAGAAAAACAACATTAGTAAAGAATGTCTACACTCAAGTATTCCTGCCTTACTTCGGGTGTGCCAATATATTTTCTAGTGCCGCGGATTCCGCCGGTCTCAATCCGTCCGATGCTGTTGAAACCCATATCCCACGCATTCTCGATCATCTCCTGTATCTGCAGGATCGTTGGCACTACTTCCGAGAAACATTCATGTCCCGGAAGGCGGCATTCTTTGATATAGGAAATTAGCATTTGAATATTCCTGTAGCCGCAAAAACCCCCCTCTTTCGACATCTTAGAGATTTGATGAACTTTGGGGCTACAGAAGAAAGCACGCTGGACTGATCTGTCCTGCTCGCAAAGCCTAACAAGCACCGGAACAACATCAGTCGTCTCGTTCTCTATTGAACGATGTCTCCGCAGCGTTCCATCTGGAGCAATTGTATTCGACTCTGTTATTTTGACTCCTTTTTCTAATAACTTTCGAAGCCACAAAGGCATCTGCTTCTCATGAGCATATGGTCCTAATTCGGTGCGCTATTTCCATTGTTAGCAGGCTCACGACCTAGAAGCTATGCAAGATACAGGGAAGGTAATGCAGAGAAGGGGTTGGATACTCCAAGCTTTTTCACAGTAAGCGCTATATTTGAAGAACTACGAGGTCTCTTTTCTCTCACTGCTTCCTGAGTGGGCTTCTCTTTCTTTAGCTGACTCTTCACAAACGGTTCATTCAAATACTGGGTATTGTCCAGGTCCTCGTAATCGTCAGGTCTGCTTAGCTTTCGACCAGTCAACTCTGGCTGAGAAGATGTACTCTCATAGGCAGTTTCTTCTGCTAAGCGTAGATCGAGATGAGCGGAAAGCTCGGTGTCCATTACTATTTCCCCACAACCACGTGGGCAACTGGTGTACTTTCCTAGATGCCCGTTCTCCTCGCTGGCGGATAAATGTTGTCTGCAGTCAGATGATACCTTCAAGTTGTTCAATTTCATGGCCTTTTTACCGCTGACGCCAAACCGGTCGTCAACTTCAGGATGATATAGCTCAATGTGATCCACAATAGAATTGCTAGCAGGGTCAGAAAAGGTGCAGAATGGACATGTTGGAACTTCTGCTCTTGCAGGATCCATAGTAATCGATCTAAGGGCCCTTCTTATACTTAGAGGTCGTTGAGTCAGCAAATGAAAATAAGGACAGAAATAAAGGAAGTGACAATGGCACTTATACGGAGTACTAGTTTGAGGTTGGACCTAAGGCCAGGTACTATCTACCCGACTTCCGTAGGGCTAGCCGGACGTGCTTTTTAAGTGGGTTAGCCAGTTACTGGAGGTCTGGTACTATGGAGTGATATCCTAGGCTTCAATTGGTCGGTTTGTATGTACCTACGGAGTACTCCGCGAGCCAATCGTGTCAGGTATTATTATTACATGGGTATTTGCCGTTGTTCGATACCTAATTTTCGTAAATCAGAGAGATGACTCACACGAAAGCGTATGGCGCTCAATACCCAAATGCTACAAACGTAGGATAGCTATATACTGTAATTCCCATGAGAGATAAGATAATTCAGGTGCGATGTATACACCTATACATGTGCTGAATGCTTACTGTATATATATTGCTCATCACCTGTACCTAACTTACTTCACTTTGAAATGGCCCCAGCACTTAAAAGGACGTAGTGGTTTACATATGAAGATACTCAAGGTAGAGCTCTGTGTACCTACTGTAATAAAACCGACTCCGATATCGTATTCCATAAGCGGAAGGCGGAGAAGGGGAAAAAATTATGTGATACCCCTTATCATTAGAGGGGGCTCCGCTTTCGCAACCCCGCCAGTGCACATAAAAAGGCTATCCCGCTACTGAAGCCAAGTAATGTGAGGATCGCCTTCACTTTTTGAGAGCAAGGTCTAAGTTGACAGTTACTTTCCAGCATGGAATCTCGGCTGCCATCCAAACTGGAGCCGTTGTTAACAGCCAATAGCGACCTAGAAGGCTCTTCAAACAGCAACTGGGTTGTACAAAAGTTTGGAGGTACCAGCGTGGGCAAGTTTGCCCTTAATATCATTGATCAAGTTATTCTGTAAGCAACAAGATAAGATATATATATAGCTGCTACTAACACCATTGAATCAAGACCCAGCCTTTTAGACCACAGTGTGGCAATAGTCTGCTCTGCAAGAAGTAGCTCTACCAAAGCTGAAGGTACTACCAATCGGTGAGTCACCTCTCAACTCCGGTTAGGCGTTTCCCTGCCTCGCAGGTTAAAAAACCGTCATGTCTCTCTTTTCGTCCGAAATTAACACTGATGTTGAAACAACTGTTAGGCTGTTACGCGCGGCGCGGGATGCAGAGAATGCTGAATCTAAAAACTACGTCTCCTTCGTCGAGGCGGTCCGATTGGAACATGTCGAAGTAGTCGAGAGTCAAATTAATTCCTTGGAATTAAAGCTCCAGTTGGTTGCCGAGATTAACGATGAATGTGAAAAGGTTCTGAAGGTCTTGGAGGCTGCTCAGACGCTCGGGGAGATCAGTGCCCGCTGTGTGGATAAAGTTATGAGTACAGGAGAGAAGCTTAGTTGTCGGCTTATGGCAGCCTTCCTCCAGGACCGTGGAGTAGATTCAGAATATGTGGATTTGGCTGAGATCATCGACTTTACTATCTCAAGCCAGGGTCTCGACCAGGAATTCTACAACAGCCTCGCCAGCACTCTCGGTAAAAAAATTCAAGCTTGTGAGGGCAGAGTTCCAGTTGTAACTGGGTTCTTTGGGACTATACCAGGCGGCCTTCTTGATCAAATAGGGCGGGGCTATACAGATCTTTGCGCCGCTCTAGTCGCCGTTGGGATACGTGCCAAAGAACTACAGGTATGGAAGGAAGTCGACGGAATATTCACAGCAGATCCCCGGAAAGTGCCAACTGCGCGTATTCTTCCGGCAATTACACCTGCAGAAGCCGCTGAGCTGACCTTTTATGGCTCAGAGGTCATCCATCCTTTCACCATGGAACAAGTCATCCGCGCGAAAATCCCCATTCGCATCAAGAATGTCATGAATCCGAAAGGCAATGGCACTATCATTTTCCCCGATTCCACTTATGAACTGGAAAAGACAACCCCAGGGCATGACCCCAGATTGTTCCGTACACGCAGTCCAAGTCTTGTGCAGACGCCGAAGCGTCCTACCGCTGTAACTATCAAGCACAAGATTCTCGTGATCAATGTCCACTCCAACAAACGCTCCCTATCGCATGGATTCTTTGCTGGCATCTTTTCTGTCCTTGACCGATGGAGGCTCTCAATCGATCTGATATCTACCAGTGAAGTGCATGTGTCCATGGCTCTCCATTCTGAGTCGCCTCTTCTCAATGGGGTCGGCAGGGATGAATATCAAATTATTGACGAGGACTTGAAGGGTGCGTTACGCGACCTACAAAAATATGGGACAGTCGATATAATTCCAGAGATGGCCATCTTGAGCCTTGTTGGTAAACAAATGAAGAACATGATTGGTGTGGCCGGGCGGATGTTCACAACTCTTGGAGAAAATAATGTGAACATTGAGATGATTTCCCAAGGTAAGTGTAACGGGGTCGAACTTTCACTAGATTTAGTTGGCCAAAAGCTAATTTCTTTTCTTCCTTTAAGGTGCGAGCGAAATCAATATATCATGCGTCATTGAAGAGAGAGACGCAGACCGTGCCCTGAACATTATTCATACGAGCATGTTTACATTTTTAGACTAGACGCCCTCCTTTCCTCCTTCGCCTCTTTCTCCTTGCTATCCCCCCCCCCTTCTCTTCTCGTAGGGGTTTCTGCGCAATGCCAGCGAGGGTTTCTGATGACTTAAGATATGACGAAAAGCTCCATGTCTTACGTGACTATGTGAAAGTTGTGACTCTGGAGTTCCTCTACACTGACATAATTATCTTTGTGTTTTCGGGATAGATCTCACTTGTTTCTGTTCTCTTTTTCGGGCGTTGGTTGTCTTTTATCTAAATTTAGAGCAAAATTCGCTGTCAGTCAGGGATATAGAGGGTTTTTACATGGAGTTTATGAAGCAATGAGAAGCACTTCATAAAGAGGCGTTTCCAATCAGTCTTGTAACGTTTCAGCCTGTGATTTTTTCCCTTGTCAAAATTTAATAGAAGTGTCCTCGCACTGGAGCGGTAAATGTGAGGAGATAGAGGCAATAACAACCTAGACCGTTGTTCGAATACTTATGGAGACCTAGGTGGGAGGGATGTACTGTACAAGTTATTGGAGCTCATGTGAATAAAACTTTCACTATCCACGGGTTTACTCCTATGTCAGGGGTGTCGTCAACTCTGATTTTTAATCAGGCGACGCCTTACTGGCACAATTGGCCACCTTTCGTGGGACTTCAATCTCCCCTTTCACAGAGTTATAGTGGAGTTCTATAGAAAGGCAAAGGTGCCTATCGGAGGTCCAGCCTACCCACGGTTATGATAAAAAAAGTTAACTAAAAGTAACTATTGATAATTTAAATACTGTCTATGCTTGGGAACACGAAATTATGCTGCTATGTGTGGAATCCACACGGTACTACTGCAAGCCAACACGGGTACCTGAGAATCTTCCATACCCCTGCCTAGGCTAATCTCATGAGTATATATGTAGACAATTAGCGCAGGTACTATTTACTTTGTTATGAGCCATCCCAATTAAAGGGTTAACTTCACGGGTAGTGGCGAGCAAAGGTCCCTTGCTCATCTAAATTAGTATTCGCTCCATATAAGTACTGAAGGGACAGTATGTATGGTCAATACGTCCGTCGACATGTTGAGTTTCGCTATCCAGGCGTGGATTCAACTTAATGAGCCTTGGATTTATTATTCAAATCCAAGCACCTCAAGACTTGTGCAGTGTTTTTCTTCTTCTTCTTCTTCTTCTTCTTCTTTTTTTTTTCTTTCTGAACAACCCCATCAATTGCTGGATGACGAATGTTGTCTCAGCCTTTACAGCTTGTCGCTTGAGATGGCTAGTCCTTACAAAATCTGGGTGGCGATATGATCACAAAGCTTTCCTTAAAGACAGGAAGCACGGGGTAGGAATCTAGACATAGCTTAGTACGGATCTAATAAAATCGGGCTTGTCTTCGAAAGGCACACAACATGGCACTAAGTCTGATGGCCGGGGCCGCTGGGCAATGGGGCATGCTTGCCTCGTCAACTGATGGGAGGGCCCAAATGATCGACTGAGATCGCCTGGTGATTGGACACGATAATCGTTCCGGGTGGCGGAACGGAGCAAGGAGGTCAGCCAATGGTGAAACAGGAGCTTCTGTATTGTCACCCATGACAATACTAGTACCGAAACCCCGCCTCTCCTCTGATGTACTCGCTGACCTCGACGCGTGACGCGGACGCGACCTAACCATACCATACATACTTACCTGCCAAACGAGGCCGCGACAATCACCTAACATCAAGTTCCTTTCTCTCCATTCCTCAGCCCAAGTAATCGTACGGAGTACATAACTCTGCTGTTATTAACGTATCTCGCGCACCCCACCTTACCTCGAGGGAGAAACCTTACCAGGTAAAGGGATTTGATTATAGAGTGAGGCTGTCTTCCCGCTTTATCTCTCTGCCTTTTCTCTAAACATCCCCTTCAGCCGCCCTCCATCGTTTCTAGATTTACTATTATTTCGCGCGCCGCGTGAGCCTACCTCTCTAACAGCACCGTCGGGCTTAAAAGCAGTCCTGCGCCAGTTTTACACCCAGCCTATTCCAAGTAGAAGAAAGAAAGGGAGGGGGGGGATACAATATCAAGAACAGCTCATAATCCAGTTAAACCTGACAGTTATTACCCGCTTTTCACACTTGGAGCCACGGCCTCGATGTGCCCTCCTTAGCGCCTTTGTGGCCCAAATACCCACATCTTTGCGCTACAGCCTAAGACCCTGTTCATTCCATCTGTCTTTTCTATACAACCACGAATTGTCCTGAGTATTGCCTTTTCGAGTGACTACGATTCACTTGGTCATTGGGCGTTGCTGCCCCTGCCCCTCATCATCGGCCGACTCAACGCCGCGTTCACCTGTACGGTGCTGCTATACTCCCGTGTTAAGGATTCCTCCGACGCGTCCAACGTTTTTGGCACCCGCTCAACCGGACGATATCATGAGCTCCACCCGTCCTGCACCAACTGCGTCAGCAGTTGTCAAGTCATCTTCACCGGCTGAGCAAGGAATTACCAAGCCTCGTCCTCAACTGGAACCATCACTTTTACCCCTGCAGCCTATCGATAATGTCACAGACACGGGTTATATCTTGAACCTGCCACCCACTGGCACGCACAAACCGTCGCCGACGAAGACACGTCGAGGGTCAGGTGTCTCGCTATCTGGAGGAGGAAAGCTGGGCTTCGTCTCGATAACGGCCCCTGTTCCACCATCATTCCCTACGGATTCTCCTACGAAGAAAACTCTTTCCAATCCATATGCGTATCCCATTACGTCTACAACGTCGATGCCGCAGTCGGCTTTGTTCACGACATTTCCCAGCGTCAATCCCGACAGGCTCTCAAGACAGAGTCAGCCCATAGATGAACCACCCAGTGATAATTTCGCGGATTTTCCTGAACCATCATTCCACTCCAGAACTCAATCGAAAAGGACGCTCATGGACGCGGCTCCATTGAAGGAGCGGCCCGCGAAAAGGCCGAAACGCGAAGACACTAACTCCATGCGTTTACCCGAACCACATGAAATGCCTCCTATAGAAGACGACGGCACAAAACCACCGTATAGTTATGCAACACTAATTGGGATGTCTATTCTACGCGCACCAAATAGGCGGTTAACTCTTGCGCAGATCTACAGATGGATCTCAGACACGTTCTCATATTACAAGAACAGTGATCCTGGCTGGCAAAATAGCATCCGTCACAATCTCAGTTTAAACAAGGCATTCATAAAGCAGGAACGGCCTAAGGATGACCCAGGGAAGGGCAACTACTGGGCCATTGAACCTGGGATGGAAGCACAATTCCTTAAAGACAAACCCCTACGCCGGGCCACAATGTCTAGTATCCCCCTTCCGGCTGCTCCCCAAAGGGAGCTTGCGCATTCACAGAGCTCTACCACGGCCACGGCCACGTGGACAGTTCCATCGTCCGCCTATCCTTCCGTAGTGCCGAAGTCTTCGAAGAATGTGGATTTGTCCTCCGACGCGACACTACCTGCTTCGGACCCCGCCCTCCAGGATGACACAGGTGATGAAGGTGTGGGCGGGCCTATCACGCAGACCCTCCCCCCGCGGTCTTCTCCTCCACCGACTATACACTCATCACCTCCAATTGTGCCACCTCGGTTCATCCGCCAGGGAACCCCGCCTACTCCATCTCAGGGTGTTCCGTCGACAGGGGTCGTTTCTCGCTCTAGAAAACGGAAGTCAACTGGCATGAATGATAGCGGCTATTTTTCTTCTTTGGAGTCCTCGGCAATGCGACCAAACAAAGCGGGGCACATCCTAACATCAGACTTGGATATTGAACCTCCTCGTATCAAGCGTGGCCGGGCAGAAGAAGAGATCGCTCGGATTAGGAGTTCTTCTCATGATATCAGTCCAGGTCATTCTGGTACGCTGAAAGACACTGGGCTTATTGCTGGCTCTTCGCCACTTCGCAGTGAATACGTTAGCATGCTGCCGCCTCCCATTACCCCTGTTATAAAATTCAAGAAGCCCGCAAAGCCCCCACCGTCGGTCTCCCCTAACACCAATCTTCGAAATCACCGCAAGAAGATCCAGCAGATGGTCAATTCCCCCATTAAGCATTTAGGCCTCACAGATGACGATCTACCATGGAGCCCAGCTTTTAACATTCAGGATGAAACTTTTACGCCGAATGAAAATCTCCACACTACTTTTGACGTATTTGCGGATACTACCACGGATAACATTTCGACGCCTGCATATGGTTCACCAGGAAAGCGTTCCGCGAAACGTTCACGGGGTGATGCTAGTGGCTCAAACGGCGGTGTGCTTGCTGATATCACGGCTATGAGTGTGAATAGCCGGATCGGCTTGCCTTCATTTTCATCTTCAAGCAAAACGAAAGGCCTCCTCTTTCCCGACTCACCATCGAAGGTCCCCGAGTCTGGGCGTTTTATAGATGCTACCCATGATGATTTTTTCTCTTTCCACCTTTTTGATGAGAGCCCCGGAGAGGTAGATGGCGTTGATCTTTTGCAGGGGTTTCAAAAAATCGGCAGCGGAAGCAAAGAAGAACCACCGAAACCCAGGCCGCATGTGCCTAGGCCGCAGCTGAATCATCGGAGCAATATGTCATTATTCTGAGTCCCGAATTGGTTCTACCCTACCGAGGATTTGATTGTTCGACATCTTTGCACTCCAAAAATATGGTCTACCCCAATCTAATCTCTGCCGTTGCTTAGCGCACAATAATACTGATCTTAATCCTGGGGATTGGAGTTTGTATTCAACATGATTTGCTCTTTGGGTTGTTTAAATTTTAGGCAGGTGATATGCTTGGCGTTTGGGGCAGGGGTGAGGCTTGGAATTGGTTTTGACTTCAATTGATGACCTTGTTATGACCTTGACGATATTTGCTAAGATGTACATGAAATGCCATGTTTTATGAGCCTGATTCTTGACCATGTCTACTCTCAAAAGGCCTTGATATGCGCTTGTTATCTCTTCTTCCTTTTTTATTGTTGATTGTAGCTATAATTAGTGGTCATTTGTCAATGAATTCCTTTGAAACACTAGTCGGTTAAGTACGTGTCCGTTTGACTAGATACTAGAGCACAACGGTACGCAGTTCTTTGTAGGGGTATCATTTTGCGATCGGCTGAAACATTATTGAGAAGGAATATCGAATATAGAGCCGAAGGGAGAGAGATGTGGGCACAGAGGGGAATATTCCAGATAAGCAGTAGAAGAACCAAATACAGCCCGGACGCCTTTGTATGAACCAAACAATCATGAATCCCGATTTAAACCATGTACATGGGAATATTCCAATTCTTCTTTTTCATCTTTCTCCGTTTTTTGTGCTCCCAAGCTTGAACCCTCGGGACAGTGTTGGCAGATCAATGCTAATCGCTACTGGCACAACCTCGACATCCACAACTAACGCATTGCATCGTTTGATCTTCTTTCAGTTGGGCCTTTGGAACGCGGCAAATACACGTGGCATTAAAATTCGTTTCCTTGGTCTGAATGCAACGGAGACAACAAAGCTACGATTAAGCGCGAAGTCAGCAAACTGCTAATTCTCGGGTATTAGAGGACATTCGGACGCAAAGAGCACCCTAGAAGATGAGAAAGCGGAGATAATACCTTTTCGTAACCTTGCTTTTTCCATTTAGCAATTAAGTTAGCATCCGCATAGTTATTCTTGAGAAGCCAGTCATATAGTTGCTTTGATATAGCTTCCTTTTCGTAATATAAATCGAAGATATATCTTGAGCCTGTGAAAGGATCAAGTTAACTACATTCGAAAAAAAATTGCAGGAGTAAGGGTATACTTACGTTGATGGGTTATTTGAAATATTGGCCATAGCATCTCATGTTTCCTCTTGCCATCGTGTGGCGCATTCTCTGCGTCTTTCATCTTATTACTGAACTCAAGCAGAGTGTCCTCGATGTCATCGAACCCCGCCGGAGGTGGTTTGCGGTTGCGGGAGGTTCGGATCGGAGGCATACTCAGCGTATCAATATTAACGATCGAATCGATCTAGAGTAAGAGCCAGAGGTTGTCCTTATAAACGTTTTGAAGGTAAGAGGACGTTTGTCCAGGTTTCAGCTTGCTTAGTTGAAAAGGCGCTGCAATGGTTTGGGATCTGCGTCACTTTTCTGCCACAGACCACCGCCTTCTAAATATGCGAAAGCAACTAAATTTGGTATGCGGTGTTGGGGATCAGTTCAGCTTCTTTAGTGAAACCCCTTCAGTCTTCTACTACCGCGTCACTCAACCTATACTCGACAAAGCACCAGGAATCACTTCTCTGAAATCAGGATGGATCAACAGCTCGATGTCTCCAAGCTCAGCGAAGCCGACAAGAAAGAATTGAACCAGATTTTAACAAATGAGGCTCAGAAGTCGAACATCCAGCAGAGTAAGTGAATATCCATCTGAACTTGGTGTTTGTTGCGTTTGGCCCAAGGTACTTATGGACTATTCATTAGCCGTGCATCACCTCGCCGACGTTTGCTGGAAGAAATGTATCACTGGGAGGATTTCCTCTGGTCGCTTGGATCAGTCTGAAGAGGCTTGCGCCCAGAACTGTGTGGAGCGGTGGATGGATACCAATCTTGCTGTTTTGAAACATCTGGAAGCACTCCGCTCACAATAAGCAAGTTATGGTTCTGACAATGGAAGACTTGGTACATATGATGTCTTGTGATTATCGATAATGTGGCGAGGGCTTGTCAAAAGTTCGAGATGGGAGCAACCTGTGTCTTTGCTAGCATGACAACTGATTGACTTAATACTGTACAACTAGAAATGATCAATGCATTCGCTACGTATGGAAGTGTCATGTTCGCGTTCTTTCATCGGCGAACTCAATGTCTATACCAAGCACCAGACTCCAGAAGCCAGCCTGCTTCCAAGGAGCGGTTACGTAAAGGTACCTTAGATAAGATTACAAAAAAAAAAAACTTTTTGAGGCCTACACTACCCAGATCAATTCAGATTATGCATTCAAATGACACCTCTTTTATAACGATCATTCAGCCGTCGTTGCAGCACGGGTAGCTAACTGTATGACCAGGACTTATAAGCTACCGCGTTAAAAAAAACAAGTTCACCAGACCCATAAAAAATGATTCATCTAGACAATGGCAAGCTTGGTAGCCGCAATGTCCAGAGCATCCACATCAGGAGTTAGCCGAGCGAAGGCTTTCTTGGATCCATCGGGCCTGTATCCTTGTTAGACGCAAAATTCTTGAATCGAGTGTTTATCACTCTACGCCAAGATGACCATCATACCTGACAAGAGTATTGACCTTGACGGTGTCGACATCATAAAGCTTCTTAAGAGCCAGTTTGATCTGGCGCTTGTTCGCCTTCACATCCACGATGAAAACCAGAGTGTTGTTCTCCTCGATCTTCTTCATTGCACTCTCGGTGTTAAGAGGGTAGAGAATGACCTTATGGGAATCGAGACGAGGCGCATGAGGAATCGACTTGCGGGGGTACTTGGGCGACCGGGAGAGCTCAAGGGTCTTAGGGCGGTGGAAGGTGGTGGAAGTGCGGACCTTGCGAGCCTTGTGCGCCTGATTGACGAGATATCTTAGCATGAAAAGGTACGTTTGATGCTCAACGGTGGTAACGTACGCCTACACCCTTCAGCACTGCCTTGGCAGCAGCGCCAGCGCGGTCGCTGGGCTTTGTCTTGCCTATAAAGATAGCCAATCAGCAAAACTGCGAAAATCATCTCTTCCAGGAATCGTCATTTAGGATGGCAGAGTAGTTTGGGCGAACAAAATCCACAACGCACTCCCTCCCTTGACTTCATTTCCCTCGTGGATTGTGTGCGGAACATTCACATATCAGTGTCTGCCATGTAAAGAGAACAAAATGCTCCGAAACTTGCGGTTTCAAACTTGGCAATCCTGCAACTCGGGGGGGAAACATCAAATCGCTCAAAATCTACCCACCTTGCTTGTTATCCGCCTTAGGTGCCATGGCTGTCGTCCGGCGCTGTCGTGATGATTGTCGCGGTGTCGAATGTCGAAGTATTTCGAATGCACTCGCTTAGCGAAAACCCTACGGCTTTGCTCTGTGGGTCACCTGACCTGATCCTTAGTCCCGCTGTTTTATTATGCGCCAAACCTAAAGTAGATATATTGACTCCACTTTGAGACTTGCACAATACTCCGTAACTCCGTGACCATCAGAAGGTAATACTAGTCGTTTGGGAAAGGTTGTTTCATATCTTGACTCTACATACTCTTTCTGTAGGTAGCTTGTACTGCTCCTCTTTCACTTCCCTCCCAAAACCCTACTCGTTTACAAAGGCACTTCTCGATATGCCACTTTTAACCTTATTGCCTATTTAATGAAGGATCTTGAGAAATAGGTCTGCATCTTCCCTGAAGTTCAGCTACAAGACTAACGTCGCACATCCTGTCAAAGTTTACTATTATTATTTCCTTTTTGTTTTTTTTTTTTCTTTTCTTTTTTTTTTCTTTTTACACACACATATATATATAGTAAGCATGGCACCACGGAGATCTCGGACGAAAAAGACTACGCTCCTTTCACATACTCGACCGCCAACAGTCAGAGCCAAACATGCAACCCTCTCATCCAAAGCCACACGCAATCTCATTCGCAGCCATCATCGACTTCTCAAAAACCGGGCACAAGCTTTAAAAGCCAACGATAATCTTCTAATTGAAAGGATCGATGCCCAAATTCGAGAGAATGGCGGTTTAGAAGGCTATCAACTTGCTAGCAGACTCGGGCAGTCGCTAGAACGCGGTGGAGACTCAAGTAAAGTTTTAGTCGATTGGCTAAGTCCACAATTATCGCGGTTACAAGATACGAAGTCCAAGCTTCGGGTACTCGAAGTTGGTGCTCTCAGCACCCAAAACGCTTGCTCTATGAACCACTTCCTAGATGTCACCAGGATCGATTTGAATTCTCAGGAGCCCGGAATATTAAGACAGGATTTCATGGAAATGTCACTCCCTCGTGACGCTGCCGATCAGTTTCACATAATTAGCCTTTCTCTGGTTCTAAATTATGTCCCAGATGCCATTGGCAGGGGCGAAATGTTGAAGCGATGCGTTACTTTCTTGAGAAAGCCACCCCTGTCTGGGTCATCCTTCCATATCACACCTAGGTTGTTCCTAGTCTTACCTGTGGCCTGCGTCAAAAACTCACGATATCTCACCGAATGCAGACTGCGGGACATAATGTCTAGCATGGGGTTTGTTCTAGAAAAGAGCAAGGAGACTTCGAAGTTGATATTCCAGCTTTGGGAGCACAGACATGACTTGCAACCCGCGTCGTTCAAGAAAGAGGTTTTGAGGCCTGGCAAGATGAAAAACAATTTCGCCATTGTTGTCAAACGATGAAAGAAAACACAATGACTGCAAGGCTGACTGAAAGGCTTTACTATACAGAAATCATATTCTCTGGCAAGAACGCCCACGCGGTTCCAACAATTGCCAATACTGTTGATATGAGTAAAAGAAGCCAGTCCAGGAACCACTCTTTCCGACTTATCTCTTGTCCGAATATTTTCAGATAAAATGCAAGTGGCAGAATGATGCAGATCGTAAAGCATAAGGCAGAGCCCATTAGCGCCATGATTCGGTCAAAGGATGGGCAGAGGATTGCCATCAACACGATAACTGCGACCACAAGAAGCCGTATAATAGTTTGCAATGACTGTCGAATGGTTACTCGTATACTGTTGGAATTTTCTGATACTAAGGTGACGTGCGGCCCAAGCCCACAAAGGACTTCAACTGTAGCCACCAGAGGTCGACAGCTGTGTTAATCAGTGAATATGAGCTCGAAAAAGTTTATCGAAAAAGGGGATGAGCTTACTTCAGAGGCACTTTTGTAATTGGAATGATTGCGATAAAGATTATAATGCAAATAGATATCCCGCGTGGATATTCATTCGTCAGCAGGATGTTGGCGGTGATTTCATCACGTACTCCATCACCAAACATTACCCATCCCACAATAGCCATTGCGCAATCCAGAGAGTACTGTTGTGTATGATACGTTAGATATATACTGCTGCTCCAGTTCGCCCCTTTGCCACGTACCGTAAAGAGATATGTAGCCCACAGGCTCTTTCCATACTTGCTTGGGTGCCTCATATCCCTATATATATTGGGAAACACGCCATGGCCGCCCCAAGGTGCTTTACGGATTTGATAGAGTCAACTTATCTAGATCCTTGGTCACCACTTGCAAAGGACTTACACATGATCAGCCCGAAGCTAAGAGGCACGGTCCGCCAATTGTTTGGGAATAAAGAAGTTTTGGCTGGTTCGTGGAGAGAGCCCGGGCCGTTGGGTTTGAGGAGCCCATCAAGGCATATTAGTATAATAACTTCAAGGTGTTAGTGACAAAATATGCTCAGGAGGAAAAGGCCATGGCATACTGGATGTGCAAGAGATGATACCCAAAATACTAGTCACACTAAGAAGTCGTAAAGGCACAAAATTCAAAGGAATAAGCATAAAACCACAAATAAGTTTCCACTGCAGACTACTCAGCCCTGGAATTAGAGCCTGGAGGCTGTCAGCAAAAAGTACAACTAGGGCGACACAAGCCCCTATGAGTTCCAAACAGAATGAGAGACTTGTCGCTAAGCGTGCATGATTTCCAAAGCTTATGTAGGCCAAATCAGCGTAGGTAACGAGACTCCGATCAACATCTAAGCATCTAGCAAGGATCCTAGCTGTGTAAGAAGTCACCACGGCAGCGAATGAAAGAAATGTTAGACCAAGAAGCCAGCCTGCCTGCTTCATTGCCAGCGGTAGGCTCAAGAGTCCAATGCCGATTAGAACATTCACGGAGTTGAAGATAGTTTGCGGCACGGTCGACTGGCCAACAACAATACTCTCAAGAGTACCATCTTCATGGTGTACCTGTTTGACGAGTAGAGATTCAGTATCCTCACTCGCAGGTGCATCAAGGCGGGTTTGTTGCTCCCTGTGGAGTTGTACAGCGTGTCTCCGTGTCGCTTCGCTAACGCGAGAGGATATGGTGCCGTATGACGTTCCGGCGCTTCTATCCAACGATGATTCGAAAACTCCTGCTATTCCTTTTGGCGGAATTTGGCCATCGAGGTCATGACCCTCTTCCTCACCGTCGGCAGCAAGCAATGGCCGGGTAATATCAGTGCCTCGGCCGAGCGGTCGGGACGCAGCAGTGTCATTCACGGTCCAATCTTCGTCGGATTCAACCGTCACAAACGAAGGCCGGCGAGGGATTATTTCTGGGAACCCTGCAGCTCGTTGCCACGACCGAGCAAAACTATCAATACTGTTGACCCCGCCTGTGTGTCTGAACCGCGCGGAAAATGATGCTGGCCTGAATGACGTAAATATTTGCAGCTAGGACAGCACATAATTCGACAGCTCACCCCAGTCTGTTGGCAGAATAAGCATCGGTTAAATATCCCGTGGGCTCTGCGGAATTCCCATGGGAAAAAACATCGAGGTCTGGTTGTAAGCCTGGTGGATTCGAACTTGGTATCCTGATACCATGTGTGTTACGCTCGAGCGTACTAGAGTCTCCTATATACTCGTCCTCAATCTGCGCTACGGGGGTCGGCATCTTTATAATTTCTTAGGAGAGGAAGAGGGAGAAGTAGACGTGCGGGCGCTGATGGTGTTGAGAAAGATTAAACCAAGAAACAGAAAGTAACAGGAAAAGCGGCGTTCCAGCCCTGAAAGGTCTCCGGAACCAAAGTTGGATGAATGAGAAGAGCAACCACGAAACTCCTGCTTTCTTTCTTGCCAAGACACCTCTACATAAGTGAAAACAAGTCGAATCTTCATGAATACTGTGGATGACAAGAGCCAATTAAGCATTGAGAAATGATAGGATAGATAACCAGTTCGCTAATAAGTGTCTTGATATGTATTACAGCAAGGCGACTGCTAGCGATGATAAAGGAGGCTGAAGAGATACACCAAGAAGAAAACATAAATCTACTAGTCTTTATCAAAATATATTTAGGTATATTATGTATATTAGCAGTACCACAGCAGGCATCGATTCAGTTGCCACTAAAACAGTAGCAACTAATTCAAACCGTCAATGAATACAGGTACTGTAAGTATACTAGTTATGCATACAATACAATACCATCTGACATATGCTCATACATAAGTATGTGTATATGTATTTCAAATAAGTTGATATCATACATACCATACATCCAAAATACTAATATAAGAAACTACTTGTGCCTGAAAGTGAGCATTTATAGATTCTTTTCTAGAACTCTAGAGTGTTTGAGTATAATATCAAAAGTAATGTTTACGCATAGTTTACTTTCAGCTAGTTACTTGTACTGCTTCAGAGGGCTTTATACAGTATTTACTGCTACGCACCTAGGACAAGAAGGGTGTATATACGTATGTATGTACTATACGGAGTATCATATCTCCAATACCTAATATAACAATAGTTCAATACAAGCATGCATTTATGATTATATCAGCAACTACTACCGACCTAACTAATAGTATTCTTATGGTCACTGCCACCCCACGGTGCCTGATGAAATTTGCTAAAAACACCCCCCGCTGCTGGATTTGGACGGCACATTGAACTAGCCTCAAGGTATGCAAATTATCCCTCTCAAGTCCTGGCTTTATTGCTTGTTTATTCTCCCTAACTATTCAAAAGTTTGTCCCTCCTTACCCCAACCCTCATCTAGTCTTCGATTATCTTTAACAGAGTTCACGAGTTGACACTGTCGGTCAAGTAACACGTTAGGCTTTCCACTCCCCGGTCGTCCAACATCGTCGTGTCGCCCAACATGAGCGCGGCTCAGGCGAATGAAGCGGAGAAGAATATCGAAATATGGAAGGTTAAAAAACTAATCAAGCGCCTGGAGGCCGCCAGAGGAAATGGCACCTCGATGATCTCTCTTATCATCCGTGGGTTCTTCCACGATCTCATGATTGTGGATTGCAGCTAACACTACGCATTCAGCTCCCAAGGACCAGGTATCTAGGGCGGCAAAAATGCTGGCTGAAGAATTTGTAAGGTCTGGTCGATTCCATTTTGGAAGGGAGAAGCTAACCGAGATCTGTAGGGCACTGCTTCCAATATCAAATCCCGGGTCAATCGTCTTTCTGTCCTGTCCGCCATCACTTCCACGCAGCAGCGTCTTAAGCTCTATAATAAGGTTCCCCCCAATGGCCTGGTCGTCTACTGTGGTGAGATTATCACCTCCGAGGGAAAGGAGCGTAAAATAAACATCGACTTCGAGCCATTCAAGCCTATCAATACGTCGCTCTACCTGTGTGACAACAAATTCCACACTGAAGCACTGAGCGAACTTCTTGAATCGGATCAAAAGTTCGGTTTTATTGTTATGGATGGAAACGGTGCACTTTTCGGCACGCTAAGTGGAAACACCAGAGAGGTCCTTCAGAAGTTGAGCGTTGATTTGCCCAAGAAACATGGCCGTGGTGGTCAGTCAGCACTGCGTTTCGCGCGTCTCCGTGAAGAGAAGCGCCATAACTACGTACGCAAAATTGCTGAACTGGCCGTCCAAAATTACATAACCAATGACAAGATTAACGTTGCGGGTCTGATCTTAGCTGGTTCTGCCGACTTCAAGAACGACCTCAACCAGTCAGATATGTTCGATCAACGGTTGCAGTCTAAGGTGATCAAAGTCGTTGATGTATCTTACGGTGGGGAGAACGGTTTCAATCAGGCCATCGAACTTGCCTCGGAAACTTTGAGTAATGTGAAGTTTGTGCAGGAGAAGAAGCTCATTGGCAAGTATTTCGAGGAAATTAGCCAAGACACTGGGAAGGTCTGCTACGGTATTGATGATACTCTCAAGGCGTTGGAACTTGGCGCAGCAGAGACACTTATTGTATACGAGAACTTGGATGTCACTCGATGGGTCTTGAAGGACTCGACCGGTTCCGAAGTTGTCATTCACACAACCAAGGCCCAAGAGGAGAACAACCGGGAACTGTTCCTCGACAAGGAAACTAACACCGAAATGGAAGTTGTAGACCAGTCTTCGTTCCTTGAGTGGCTTGCAGAGAGCTATAAAGACTTCGGTGCGACTTTGGAGTTCGTTTCTGACAAATCTAGTGAGGGTAATCAGTTTGTTAAGGGCTTTGGTGGTATTGGGGCTATTCTCCGGTATAAAGTCAATTTCGAACAGCTTGCCGACTATGATGACGAGGACGAATTTTATGATGGTATGCCTGTTTTCCACGCTATTTAGCTAGCATGCAGACGCTGAACTACTACAGATTGACGGTCCAGCGACCTCGCAGGGAGCGAGGATGAAAGGCCAGAAGTCCCCAAAATGGGTCTTTTGACGGCTCGCCCTTTGTGGTATGAAGGCAGCTTTGGTGGTGAACCCACCGCTTCATTAGTAGGAGCCATCATGCTGCGTGGACCGAACTCTGTCCAGCTGCTCAAAGGTATGCTCGCGCACATCTGCCAGCAATGTTTCTCCGTTAGTTCCTAACAGCTATGCTACCTAATAGGGCCATCCAAGCTTCGTACTTTCGACATTCATGTTACCTATAGGGTCTAGGTTGACACAAGGCGTACTTTGTAAAAGGATGGTGGATGTGATACGATGCAGCTACCCACAAGAAATTGTCAGCCCTGGCATTTGAGCCAGCGAGTTAGGATTGATTTATTCCAGAAAGATATGCCTTGTTGGTGTTACTATCCAATTTTTTCATTGTTCCTACGTGCGCTCTTTCTATAACTGCCCATCCCCCAAACCAAAGAAAAAA